TGTAAACTAAACTAGTTTACATTAACAACCCATAAATTTACCCTTTTGGCCTTTAACAATTAAAAGGTTATTTTCGTTCATCTCATTAATCTTAACGCTTTAAGATATAATATTTAATATAATTAATTATTGCTTGACCATTTTAACCCTTAAAATGTCACAAATAATTTTCTATGTAACTATTACCATAGAAATCTCGTCATTACCCTCGGAAGGTGCTAGCCCTCTTCGGATAATCATTTATCTCTCTTATCCTTCTCTAACTTCTCAAGGCTATTGGTGTGACCATGTAGGTCCACCGTGGATTAGTCGTGAGCTGGTTCTGGATGAATCCAGAAACCTATCCGGAGGCCCAACGACTATGGTAAAGATCTAGCAATGTGCCATAGTCCCTAAACCACGATGAAGAAATACTTCATCAAACCTATTTCAGATCATATGTACCATGTAGGTAAAGTTCCTCCATTGATATATCCTGATCGAACACGGATTCATGGAATGTCAAAATCCTAAACCCGATCTTCTACCGAATCATCAATCAATATGTCTGGAACTCGTCATCACAAACTTGCTTTTGTATGACTAATAATAGACTCTGGCCAGAGATTCTGATTTCTGACATTTATCAATATTTGACTAGGAACTAGAATCCGAATGGAGTCAATGGTACTCCTAATCCTATATTTCTGAGTCAATGGATCATTTCTTGACCATCGTTCGTTTCCGCATATCAACAATGCATGACCAAATAGGCTCTATCATACGAAACATGACTAGTCTCGTAGTTATACACTGTATGAACCATATGCATCCGTATCAGATCCGACCATAATGTCTGAAGTCAAAGAACTACATCGTGCACTGATATAACCAAACGATAAATCATTGACTACATGCTTTTCCAAGTGATTTGTCGTTATTCGGTCACGTTCAAAAAAACAGTTCACCAACCACTAATCCATACCAATGCCCTAATGACATGACTATTATCGTCATCCGTACTTATATCAACTCGTGATATCTTTCGGAAGCATCCAATATAGTTTCCCAAATTATATTGCTTCTGTAGGGAACCCTTTTGATAATTCATTTACCGATTAAATGAATCATCTAAACAATTCATATACGTACTTTATTTTAAATGCATGCCTGAATAAAGGAAGCAATTTATATATATATGAATTGAAGAACTCTTTCTTCTATTATTTATGATATAAAGATAAAAGACAAAATGCTCTGAAACCAACAACACGAATGGTTTCTAGGGCATACACTAATATACACTAACACGTGACTAGCCTGAGCTTTGATTAGGTCCTGATGGAAAGCTAGCTGAAATGAGGTCTTGTGCTCTTGAGCTTGGATAGGATAATGGTGAAAATCCAATTGGTTGTTGACTTATGTTGGGGTGACAAGGAGGTAAAGGTGAACTCTGAGTGAAGTATGGTAAGTTCTGAAACCCAACTTGAGTTCTGGAATAACTGTTATCAAAATTTGGTGGTCTGACTAGTGAGTTATTTCTTCCAGTGTAGCTTGTGTCAAACCGATGATAATAGTTCAGTGCAAGGTGTCCACTTTTTCCACAAACTTGCCATATAACTCTGCCTCTTCCAGCTCCTCTGCCTCTTCCCATGACACCAGTGATTTGTGAGGGATAAAAGTGGTTCTATGGTGTTGGGTTGAAACCAGTACAACATTGATGAGGAGCAAAATTTTAGGAGGTGAGATTAGGGTTTTGTATAGGTGAAAACTGATAATGTCCAGTATTAAGCGAGTACTATTCACTATGATATTTTGTTTGAGTTGTATTAGTAGTGAGATTAGCAAGATGAATTGAGCCTCCATGAAATTCAGTGCTGACAACTAAATTTGCAACTAGATTTGCTCTTTCTAACCTTAACTCATATTTTTACAAAATAATATGTGCTTCCTAAACCGAAATAGGATCTATCCTAGACTCCAATCTTGTAGCAATAATTACTACAACAGCATCATACTCAGAACTTAAACCATCAAGAATGTAGTTCATTAGTTCTTCATCAGAGATTAAAATTCCACTAGCTGACAATGTTTCAGCAAATCCTTTCATCTTTACGAAATATTCATGGATACTAAGATTATCTTTCTTAGTGTTTTGCAACAAACTCTTAATGTGCACAGTTTTAGTTCTAGATTCCGTAAGAAATTCTTTTTCTAGTGCAATCCACATATCAGTAGAAAATTGACACTTAGACACTACTGAGAACATAGATTCTGATATAGATCCAAGAATCCAACTTACTAATAGCTTGTCTGTCTTCTTCCATTGATTATACGCTGGATTAGACTTCTTCTCTGTCGACCCCTCAATGCCTTCAATTGGAACTTTAACGAACGGTGTTGGACATGAAGTCAGTCTAATAAGATGCTCCTCTAAGTCATGGGAGCCCACAACAATAAAACTTGTGATTTCCAGAACCTATAATTATCCCTAGTTAATTTGGGGGAAATTACAGGAAGAGAAGAAGAAGACATTGATGAAGTGTTTGTAGAATTAACGAGCTCAATGGTCGATTTGATATCTGATTTATTTTGATTGAGGGAGAATTGAGTAGGATCAGCCATCTTTGACGTTAGTCAACAGCTCTGACACCATGAGAGTTTTGAGAGAAAACAAAGAGAAAAATACAGAGAAAAAAACAAAGAGAAGGTTTTGAAAAATTCGCGTTTTACTTTGTTTTGTACAGTAACTGCACTTTTTATAGTGCTCATAACAGTAGCTAACTAACTCAGTCTATAGGTTACTTAACTAATCATTTTCTAACTCTTACTAACACGCTTTAATAATGACTTTGTTTAATGCAAAAATAAAATCTTTTAAGAAACAAATTTAATAAAACTATTAGTTAAACTCCCCTTCGTTTAGTTTATTTTTTGAATTTTGTAATAATTGCATAGTCAAAGTTATCCAAAAGGTTTTCTTTTTTCCTTGTTTCAAATGGCACTCCCTCAAAGACGAAAAAGGATCTTAAAAAGACATGATTGAAAAACCCTTGAACTAGATTGTCTTTAGAAACAATCTAGGACTATTGTAGCTTGCCTAATCTTAATTATCCTTGAAGAGACTTATAAGAGTCATATGAATCAAGTAATGGGTTAAAATGCAAAAGAAACCAACTTTGGAAGAAGCACTCTACCCAACCTGAAGGGGAGAGAAGATTCTAACAAGGCCAGGACAACCATGGTAAAAAATTTGTATTCCTAGCCCAACAAATTGAATATATCAGGAAAGGTTTCAATGATTTGTACTGCTATAAATACAAGCGTGAAAAAACATTTGAGACACTCTTAAACCATGTATTTTATACCAAACACCTTGGTGAGCTTCAAATATAAAATATTTCTCACTTCATTTAGGTTTGTTTAGTACTATTTTATTTTACCTTTTCATGCTTTATGCTTATTTTTTTTTTATTTTTTTGTATTTATTTTAGGTTTTGAAATAAATACGGATAAAAAGGAAAATTTTGAAGCAAAAGGAGGAGAGGGATGTAAATTCTTAAAATTTTAGAGGCCAAGCAAGGGTTTTTCTCGAATTATCAGAGCATCTTTGGGTATTTTGGAGACAACTTGAGCAATAGATATCGGAATCTCTTGGTTATTGCAGCGTTGGAAAACTAATTGAGAGAGCTAAAATTCTTATGTTTATGACTTCGCCCAAGTCAACCGAAACCGGAGAGAAAATCATGACACAAGTTGACAGTAGGGCAAAATCAAAATCTAGAAAAACAGGAGGTGAAGGAATTCGTGGAGTAGCCATCTTCATAGTTTTTTCTTCTCTTCTTTCCTTTTTTTAAGTCAATGTTTTGTGAATTTGAAATTATGCTTTTCCTTTGTTCAAGTATGAACTAATTTCCTTTTGCTAGGGCTTTGATGTAGCCTCTCTTTGACGATTTGAATCCTTAAATTATATTATTGAAGTTTTTATCAATCCTTGTTGAGTATGCATCACTTTACTTAATGCTTTTGAATGATTGATCATCATTTGAATGATTTGTTGTGCATGTTGAGAATAATAAATATAAATTGTTTCTTGTGATGTGTGCCATGAATTGAATGAAAGACAGAGATGTGTCAAAGTGATTTGTGTGGTTTTTATTGAAATACTATAGAACTTAATGTGCTCATATGATTTTAAATTCACATAGAGATATCATAGGTTGTTATGAGTAATTTTGTTTCTACTTGAGAGAGGGCTTCAAATAGGTTAGAGTATTTTGCTATTAACATTGGATGATAAAATTTCAGTAACATGTTTTTAGGATTTAGATTGAATTGGTTAGGTGAAATTGAATGCCTTAGCATTTTTGTCCATGGGTGATTCAAGCTTGTTAATTGCATTCTTTAATTGATTTCAACTTTTAATTTATAAAATTCGTAATATTTCAATTTTCATTATTTTCAAATAATTTAAAACTGGAACAATTTTGGTATTTAACAGGTAAACAATCTTCCTGAAAATGATACTCTACTCATTTAACTATATTACTTGAGTGACTAGTACATTTGCTATATTTTTCACAACACACCTTGTGGCTTGACTAAATGACACCAAAGAAATCAATTTGCTGTTGCAATAAGCTTGGTCTTGGTAATGCAAGACCTACTGCTAATTAAATCCTCAATCTTGGTACTTAGGATTTGTCAGACCACAATAAAATATGTTATTTTTGTTTTGTCTTTCTTTATCTCTTTTAACTTTATTGTAAACTAGGTTAACTGTATTTGCTCACCTAAGAGATTGTTAAGTCGTAAGTGTCACAGCAATGTCGAAAACTATTAAAAACCTCCTGAAATTACCAAAACCCCTGAAAACTATTATTCTTTCACATTATTGATCACATCATTAGAGCCCTTTGAGACTTGGCAATTAACCCGTGAAAACTATTATTCTTTCACATTATTGATCACATCATTCAATTGCTCACACCACTAAAAGTTGGTTAAAATTACAGACCACCTGAAACCCAATTGACCCACCGTCTTGGGTTGCCTATACCTTCAGTAACAAGAGTTTTTGTGTTTCCACTGTTATGGTTGATGTCAAAGCTTTAATACCACATGATGGAGCAGTATCATATCTAAGTAAGTATTATCACTTTAAGTGTACCCTTCTTCCAAACAAAAAATGGAAATAAGAAAATCAAGGCTACAATGAACAATTATCGGCCTAAGACCATACAGACATGGTTTCATGCACACACATGCATAAACAGTTGGAGATACCTTGAATTATTTTTTTGTCATCATCTGCTAAGCTGAATTAGAGTTTCCGTGCTTATAACCTACATCTCGAGATGACCGACAATGGAAGTAGATGAATTGGATTAAAATCTAGAGAAGATGTTAAGGTCCCACGCAAACTGAGAAATGACCTTTTTGTGCTGATGATGTTGTTACTGAGAATCTAGTAAGGAGATAATTCACGGTCAAGCACCTACACAACATTGAAATGTCTAAATATTTTACTTTTTGCGAAGATGGAATTGTAGATCTAACTATGCATTGAAAAATTAAATGCCCTATTTCCACTAGTCTAACTAAAAAGAGAATAAGAGATAATGATATTTAATAAGGATACAAAAGCATCAAGTAGGACACAGCCTCCCGCATCTACAAGCCATGGTAGATTTGGTCTGATTTTTTACCAATCCAAGCTGCTAACAATTATGCTACATGTTGACGCTTGATTTTGGACGCCAACGACTCACACATGAGAAGCGCTAAGCGGACTTAGGAATCACACATGATGGATCCATGAGATTTGAATATAGAGCTGAGATTATATATGTTACAGAAAACATAAATAATAGGCTGACAAGAGAGGTGTTTATAGTGGTTCGGATGCTCAACAAGCGACTCCTACATCCACTGTTATTTTATTGATCTCTGACTATTTCTATGATTTTGCTTGTAAGGCATACAAAGATGAAGAAATACAGTGTTTACAGAGAGAAAGAATTGATCTCTTATCTATGGTTAGCTCTCATATACCTAGCCCCCCTCTTCAGAAAGAGGAGTGCCAATTTATACACCCTTGCACTCAAATGTAATGAGTGTTTTGCAAGTTGCCTTGACACATGGAAGGCTCTCATCCATTCATTTCTTGAAAGGAGATAGGGTTGGTAAGAATATCTTTGAGGAGATATGGGCTTGGCAGCTAGTACATAAAGACATTTATTAGGTTGACATAAGCATGACTTTTGAGGCATAATAGAAGCCCCCCAGTTTTTGGAGTGCGTAATCGTGCTTCAGAAACTAAGGTCTTTCATCTGAATGGCTACAATCTCAAACTGAAGTGCTCGAACTATTCTTGGCGTGATCGAGTGCTGAGAGCTAGAAGCTGATCGCGATCTGTTAGGAGCTCGACCTGAAAGCAAAACGAGCTCAATTTGAGCAAAACGAGCTCAACTTGAGAGCAAAACAAGCTCAATTTGAGATCAAAACGAGTTCAATTTGAGATCATAACGAACTCAATCTGAGCAAAACGAGCTCAACTTGAGAGCTAAACGAACTCAATCTGAGATCATAACGAATCAATCTGAGCAAAACGAGCTCAACTTGAAAGCAAAACGAGCTCAATCTGAGCTAAACGAGCTCAACTTGAGCAAACGAGCTTAACTTCAGCAAATTCATTTCTTTAAAGGAGATAGGGTTGGTATGGATATCTTTGAGAAGATATGGGCTTGGCAGCTAGTACAGAAAGACATTTATTAGGCTGACATAAGCATGACTTTTGAGGCATAACACTACAAAAGAAAACATATATATTCTTGTTAGAAGATCTCAGTAAGAAATCAGGCCCTGACATTGGGGTTCCAGCACAAAATACGAAAAAGTGAACATGATGAGTGGACAACAATAGAAAGACCCATGAGGATGAGAATGATAGATGGGACATATTCACCTTGCTACATATGTTGCATTACCACTCAAAGCGAAGAGAAACATTCGAGGGTTAAGGCACTACAACATCATCCATGAAACAAAATCATGATCTTATTGAATTGTCTCACACACAGACACCAATTTTCTTTTGTTTGAACCACAGGATCAAGCAATCCCTTTCTCAAAAGAAAACAAAAGAAAAAAAAAAAAGAAAAAAAAGCCAAATTCCATTCCAAACAAACTTTCCATTTATATATACAACTGAATTTATATATAATTTTAAACCTATACTTTCTTACCTCCACATTCCCCATTCTCATCTGCAAATAATAGAACAAGATAAAAGAACCAAAAGTTTCTGAAAGACAATAATGAAAACTGGTTAACGGGATATATAAATAAAAGAACAATTTGTCAGATTGAGAAAAGATGACGATAGACTACTACATCCATGCTTCAAAGAAATACCATAAAAAACAGTTTTGCTGACATATAGATGGTTTATTTATACCAACTCATATGTCTTTCCAATACCATATTGTTGTTGCTAATGCCGAAGAATGCAAAGAAAAGAAAGAGAGCAACTAAGAGAGATGAAGAGTAATCTTTTTCTGCATTGTCAACTGAGTTTTACATCATAACTAATAAAGCAAAAGTTTACTGTTGATAACCACTTTGCAGACATATTTTATCCAACATTAATCTAAAGCCATACATTAATACCAACTTACAACAAACATTATAGACACATCCCATATAACCTGGCAGTACAAATCTAAACCATTACAAAATGAATCAAACAAGGCTGCCTCACAAAACTGACAGATGGTAGATTGCAATACACTTTGGCACCAGAACAGATTCAAAACAAGTTGACAAATTGCTACATTTCCAGCTAACTATCAGAATTTACCACTCCTCCTTCATAGTTGGCTGGAAACACCAAGTCTGAATCTAAATTTGTCAAACTTGGCTTTGGAAACAACTTTAGTCATAATGTCAGCCACTTGTAATTCACCCCTGCAGTGTATCAGTTCCACTTCACCATTTTATTCTGCCTCTCTCACTACATGAAACTTAATTTTGATATGCTTTGTACGTCCATGATGCACTGGATTTTTGGCCATTGCTACAACATATTGGTTGTCACACATGATGGCAGTAGGCTTGACCTGCTTCACCTTTAAATCTTTAAGAATCTTTCTCAGCCAAATGGCTTGATTCATATCAGCAGCAGCATATATATACTCTGCTTTTGCTATGAATTGAGCCATAGTTTCTTGCTATCTGGAAAGCCAACAAATAGCACCACAATTTAGAAAAAAATGCATACCCTGAAGTGCTCCTCATGTCATTTGTTGAACCAGCCCAGTCACTATCAGAAAAACCAACCAACTTGAAGTCTTCTGATCTCCTGAACCACACCCCAAAGTCAGTGTTCGCCTTCACATATCTCAGCACCCTTTTTGCAGTCTTGAAGTGAGTCTCGGTTGGTTGACTCATAAATTTGGATAGCAAGCTTGTGGCATACATTAAGTCTGGTCTAGTTGCTGTCAAGTATAGTAGGCAACCAATCAAGCTCCTGTACAATCCTTCATCAACCTTCTCAACCTCATCACTTTTTGATAACTTCATAGTTGGAACCAATGGTAGGTCCACTGGTTTACAATTCTCCATGCAGAACTTCTTAAGGACTTCACTTGCATACTTCCTTTGATTCACAAAAATACCATTTGTATCTTGACTAATCTCCATCCCAAGAAAGTATGAAATTTCACCCAAGTCTATCATTTCAAACTCACTATGCATGGATTTTTTGAATTCCTCCACTTGAGCATGATTGCTTCCAATCACTAAAAGATCATCCACATACAGAGAAATGATCATTACATCATCTTCGGCTTCTTTAATGTATAAAGTGTGCTCATTTGGACTCCTCACAAAGTCTAAACTGAGTAGGTGGTCATTAATCCTATTATACCAGGCCTTTGGTGCCTGTTTTAGGCCATATAAGGCCTTCTTCAACAAGTAGATTTTTCCCTCTTCTCCTTGAATCTGATACCTTTCTGGTTGCTCAATATAAATCTCCTCACTCAACCAGCCATTCAAGAAAGCAGATTTAACATCCAATTGATGAATTTTCCAAGAAAATTAAGCTGCCACAGCAAGCAGCAATCTGATTGTATCAAGCCGGGCAACTGGTGCAAATGGCTCCAGGAAATCTACTCCATATTGTTGAGCAAATCCTTTAACAACAAGCCTGGCCTTATGCTTAAGAACTGAACCATTCGAATTTAACTTTTTTCTGAAAATCTATTTTACTTGGATCAACTTCTTGTTTTCTGGTCTATCCACAAGCTTCTAGGTCTGATTTTTTTCAATCATGGCTAGCTCCTCCAGGGTTCTGACTTCATTGCTTCTGAGTAGCTTGAAGGTTCCATTTGTGCCATATTGCATTTGTCATACACATTAGCCAGAGACCTTGTTCCTTTGACAGAAATCTCCTCATCTGATTCATCCCCTAGATTTTCTTCAACCTGATCAACTGGAACTTCACTCAATTGAGGTCTTGTTTCTACATCAACCTTACATTTCTCCCAAGTCCAGACTCCACTCTCATCAACTGTAACATCCTTGGAAATAAGTATTTTCTTTGAGTCAAGAATGTATATTCTATAAGCTTTGGATTGGCTGCTGTAGTCAATAAAAATTCATGTTAAAACCTTATCCTCCAACTTTGTTCTTTTTGCAGGTGGTACCAGAACATAGTATATGCTTCTGAAAATTTTCAGATTATCCACTATTGGCTTAACTCCAGTCCAGGCTTCAAATGGTGTTTGACTGATCAAAGCTCTAGTAGGAAGTCTGTTGAGCAAGTACACCCCTATGTTGACAGCTTCTGCCCAGAAGGATTTTGGAAGTCTTTTCTCAGCCATCATACATCTTGCCATCTCCATAACAGTCTTGTTTCTCATTTCACTAACTCCATTTTGTTGTGGAGTATAAGGGCTGCTGAATTGATGTCTGATTCCAACCTCTTTGCAAATCATTTCAAACTCTTAAGAAGTGTATTCAGTACCATTGTCACTTCTCAAGGTTTTGATAGTCTTTCCTGTTTGGTTTTCCACCAGCTGTTTGAACTTCTTGAATACTCCAGCCACCTCATTTTTCTACCTTAGAAAGTAAACCCAGCACATCCTGGACCAATCATCTATGAACAATGCAAAATATCTACTTCCATTTAGGGATAAGGTTTGCATTGGGCCACACACATCCGAGTGAACAAGCTGAAGTTTTTCAAAGGCTCTCCAGGCTTGATTCACCAGAAAAGGTTTTCTACTCATCTTGCCTAATTGACGTGCTTGGCAGACTCCTTTTGGTTCTTCAACAATGGGCAGATTCTGAACTAAGTTTTTTGACTGAATCTCCCTTAGACTTTTATAATGTACATGGCATTTTTCTCTGAAATAGTCTTGACAGTGTTGCCCGCTCCTTCTGCTTCTTGACACTCCTTCAGAACACCTCTCATCTACTACCTACAAAAACATTGAAAACAACGAGGTGAGCACTAATTGCTCAGTAAGTAAACCCACTAGGCTACTCATTTCTCTCTGTTGTTCAACTTCTGAATTTCTTTCCTTACAACACATTTCTTTCTTTTTCTCTGTTCTTTCTATATTCTTGTTTCTCACTTACTAACAAGTAAGCATAACTAGAGAAACTAATTTTGAATAATATGAATGCCATGATGCATATGTATAAATGCATAAAGAATGCAATTTCTTT